CCCCAAAACCCCAAAACCCCAAAACCCCTTGATGACAAATTTGGAATATATTTATCAGAGTTTGAATTAATTTAAATTTCAAAAATGAAGAAAAAGAGCTAAAGTATTCTAAAGCATTTAATAACAATATCGCTAACTCTGAATCTTATTATTAGTTTTACTTCAGGCTAAACTACCGGGGACACTACAACAACTGATACTGAATTTCAAACAGGAAACTTAGAAATCTATGAGGGATTAGTATTGGGAATCGGAAAAGGAACTCTAACTGTATGCTGCTTTGGAATCATTGGATTGGTTATTTGTTTCTTCAAAGATATGACAGCTACTCCTAGTTTGATGGTTGCAGCAGGCATCATTTTGCCTTTACTAGTTCTTCTGATTATTTGGTTCATGCCTAAGGAGTCGCTCAAAACAGATTCTGAGAAAACTGAAAAACAAATAACAGATGGATTTAGAGTCAGGACAGGCATATTTTCCGCATTGATATTCTTGGTTTGTATTTTGATGTCTCTAGTAATGTGCGGGGCTAAACTTACTACTTAGCTAACAGGTCAGAAAGTAGACTCAGAACTCTAAACTGCTTAACCCAAGAAAAATCCCAATCAAATGTAAACAAGAAAACTATAGCTCTAGTTACAAAGTCAGAGTCTAGAGAAGCCAGCTGATGAGTCATAGAGTAAACTTATGGGATAAAAAGTAGTAATAGATTAAGAGGAAGGATTACCCTCAAGATAAAATCTTGAGGACTCATAGTTAATAGAGAGAACTAATCAAAGATAATTGCAGGGAATGGGAATCGTAGATGATGAAGAGAACAGTTAAGAAAAAGATTTCAATTTCAGCTAGGAACAAGAACAATATCCCTGATAGCATTAAAATTAATTATAAAACTTTAGTATAGATTAATTTGAATGTATTATTGTAAATAAATTAACATTTATCTCTCTAATCTTCTGATGACCTTTTCTAGTATGATCTGGAGTTACAGTATAAATACTCTTAAAACAAAGAGTTCAGCGTCTTCTTTGAGCGACAACTGTCCATTGATCATCTGTCTTGATGACTTCCTTTTCAACTACAGCTACCTCTACCACTTATTCAAGCTCTTATACTTCCTTTTTACCATGCTTTTTGCCTTTCTTTACTGGTTGTTGTTAAACCTCCTCTATTTTCTTCATGGTAACTAGCTCGATAGCTGGCTTTGGTTCTTACTGACTCTGACCCTTCTTGGCCTTAGCTTGCTTCTGGGATTTAACTGGGCTATTTCTCTGTGTAGATTAGTCCTCTAGGTGAGGCTCTTCCTCGATTCTGTGATCTTGGCTCATTTTCATTAGCAAGTCTGTCTTCTATGCTCTTCTCTGCTCCAAAATATCTTCTTCCTTCTTTGTTGGTGGTTATTTTGTCACCTCTGATTTGACATTAGTAGACTTGGAGTCAGTTTTATTTGATTAATTAGATTGCTTTTTAGTATCTTAAGGTACTGTTGATGCTTGCACCTTTACTTCTGGCTATTAATGAGTTTTGGTTTGTGTGTTCAACTTTTGCGCTTTAAGTTTTTCTTCTTCTTACTCTTTTTCATCTCTTGCTTTATCCCATTTATAGTACCATAAGCTGCTTCCTGAAATGCAAAACATTAATATGGCAAGCCACATAATATAGTTGCTACAACTGCAATGCTTGAATAACTAAGAGAGTATTCCCATTTTATCTTTATCTTTATAAATACTTAGGTTAATTATTTCAAACGTATGTCTTTTTGCAATATTGATATAAAATTGATGAATAGGGGTTTTGGGGTTTTGGGGTTTTGGGG